GGAGTTAGGTGCTTAGGTGGCTCACATGGTTGAATCAGTGATGCAGGATTTCTTTGCATGCAGATTGTTTCATTAAAATCCTTATACTGTAGTACACTCAACAAAATTACTCAACTCTGATTGGTTGAGAGGAGTACAATTATAGAGTTAATTGTACTCCGTAGGAGTACAGAATTAAGTCGCTATGGAAACACGGCCATAACAATGTCAACAGCGGGGGGAAAAAAGCCGTAAAAACTAATAAGAACTAATCTTTTTTATGCATTTCAGTTGCGCGATGGACTGAAAATCGGCCGCCAAATAGCCAAAGCTGAACGGCGTCGCTTCGCATTTTTTACTGAAATTTTGTTGAGTGAACTATAAACAGAAAATCGCACGATCTTCTCGTACAATTTGGAATTAATAGACACTTGTAATGTTTTACCACCTAAAGGCTGGTGCAATTACAAGAGCTTTCAAAACATTACTCGTGTCTATTAATTTACAAATTGTACTCGAGATCGTGCGATTTCCTATACAAATAATGCAAAAAAAAATTATTATTCATAGTTGAAGTTTCGCTGGATACAGCATAGAGATTAGCAAACAATATAAGTCCTAGAAGGTTTGTAATTTTATCTTAATAAAGTCATTCTAAATTTTAAAAAAAGACAAAAGAATCTGGGTTGAAATATAGTATTGATCAGTTTTATGAAAACTGTAAACGGCATGGATTCTTGAAAGCAATTATTGAGACATCGAAAGTACGTTTGGTTGAAGAAGATATGTTTTCAGTATACTCACAGGGAGCCCAATTTAGATTAAAGTGAAAAGTGTAGTAGTACGGTTGCAGCATTTTCGTATTTGGAATTTTCTTTTCATAACATAAACATTTGAAATATCAAGATGCAAATGAGATGACGTAAATTCAAGACTTCATGTATTTCATTAGTGCCATGCGGTCCTCATATTCTCATCTTTGCATCATAATTACCGCTACTTACTATCTATTTCACCCCGGCCTGCTCTCAGTCTGAGCTCTAGCTCAGCTGGTAGAGCATCGGTAGTACAGTTCCGAAGGTCGTGGGTTCGATTCCCAGCGAGGTCGGAAATTAATTTTTCCGAATTTAATTCCAAGGACTTTCGCCCGGAATAACCTCGTTCCCAAGCACTACAACTTACCTATATTTCTATATCTTCATGTATTTCATTAGTGCCATGCGGTCCACATATTCTCATAAATTCAAGACTAGTTTATTAAACAAAAATGCTGTTGTGGAAAGTACTGCTGTTTTTTTCATTTTCAAATCATCCTTATAACTGAAATATTTTACCTTTTTGAATTTGCGTCATTTCATTTGCTTATTCATATTTCAAATGCTTATATCTCCGAAAAGAGAAAATGTTGTTGTGGAGAGTACGGCTGTTTTCTTTTTTTCATTTTCAAATCATTATAACTGAAATATATGGTTTTGTACACTTTTAGGTTACTTTACTTTTTGAATTTGCGTCATTTAATTTGTTTATTCATATTTCAAATGCTTATATCTCCGAAAAGAGAAGACCACATACAAAGATACTGCAACCATACTGCTACACTGTTCAAATAAAAGGGATTTTGATAATATTTTTTCCCTTGCTATACGCTTTAAATGTTAATATATATGTGATGGACCATTTTAATTGGCACACGCTGTAGTGAATTTCCAACAATTATGTATGTATGACCCTAAAGCCATGTGACATGAAAAAACATGGCGTCCGCAACTTCGCGAACCATTCGATCTTTAGTATTTCTCAACACTACTAAACCTTCCTTATGCATTCTGTTTGAACATTTATACATTGAAAACAATTATTTAGTCTTTATATGTCTATTTGTGAACAAGATTTACTATTTAAAGAAAAATTTCGATGATTTTGTGAGTTTAGAAGTTGTCCCTGTAGACTCAATTTATACACCCGCAAATTAAAATACGCTAGTGACGGTAGTTCCGAAACAAAGGTACGTCAAGCGGACTAGCGGGGTTGAATTCTATTGTCAAATAGCGTTTGGTACCGAAATTATCGTCCGGTTTCCGGAATAGAGAGGTTCCGGTTTACTGAGGCTTATTTTACAAAAGACATATGGGAAAAATTTCCGGACCAAAACTTTTGTCCGGTTTAGAGAGAATTCCGGTATACTGAGGGTCCGGTATAGAGGGGTTTCCCTGTATACTTTTATATGACGTGTGTGTAAGTGTTTATGGCTGGGTGCTTAAATTAAATAAAGAAGCTAAATAAATACGACTGTTCACGACTACCCTTCCAAGTAGCAATTCATTAGTCGCATTCTATTATGGGGAGACGTGGGATTATTTGTGGCGAATAGCGGGGAATGATCCTCTCATGGGAAACCTTGCATACGTTCATGGACGCAAGATTTATATTGAAATCTTGACATTATCGTGAAAATTCACCAACCATTTTAGCAATAATACTACTGATTCTTGCTTTGTTGACATGATAGACTGCACGTCATATATATATATCCGTGAAACGATTACTATCCATGTAGTGCTTTGAAGCATTTAGTTATTAAATTATTCAGCTGTAAAACAGCTAAGAATTCATTCAGGCATGAATCAAACAAAGACGGGTAGAGGTATTTGCTTTTGTAATTATACTTATTTCAATAAAATTAGTCAACTGAAAAGCTATAATGCTGAGGCCGACAAGGATTATGGGTAGATACAGTTTACAATTTTTAACCGCTTGATAACTGTTGATGGACTTGCACAATTTTTACCAGTTATAGTCTTACCTCTCCTGAGCATCCTCATGCTGCAGTTTGTATCAAACACGCTTTACTTGTTTGAAATGAATGGCTTCCCATGATCCTCCGTGATCTCAGCTTCAGTCTAGGTTTTTGGTAACTAACTTTATTGAAATAAGTATATGGCGTACACTCTACTACGATTATTTAACAACAAATAAAAGTACAATATCTTTTGGTGCTTCATTTTATTTGTCTTTATGTTATGGGAAGATCTAGTTTTCTTGTTCTTACAGGGTAAAATTAGAGTCTATTTGCTAGTTTTACATCAGTATTCTCCAGGCAGCATTTCAACCGATTTGTTTTCAACAAGATCTCAAGCTTTGCTCACGTGAATTTCCAGTATGGCATGTCCAGAGCTGTTCATGAATCCACGGCTCTTCAACCCATATCCAAGATTCCTGGTGTGCCAGCCATTGTCCCCTCGAAATGGAGACAAATTGTAGTAGAGTTCCTCGTACATCCTCTGGTCTGCTCGCCTCTTTCCCTTATAGATCCTGACATTCCACCAGTTGCTGTACCAGTTATAGTCATAGGGAACGCTGAATAAAACGGCCAGGGTGTTTCCATCGCTCATGAGATAAGCAAGTACTCCAACCGCGCCAGTCGCAACTGGACCACGATCTTTCTGACCGTTGTAGAGTAGTGCCTTACCATGTGGAACTTTATGGGGAAGGACGATATCAGAGGTGCCAGAACGGAAGTATGTGTTCAATGCGGTCCACGTCTTGCCCGACTCGTTGTCGACACCGACGGCAATCTTTCGTTTGACATTACCGAGTGCTTCGAGGACAGTCTTCAGGATGTCGAAGGACAGACTTGCACCATCAATAACGGCGCCAGCCACGTCTGCGGATCTTTTTTCATCTGTTATAGTGTTAATAATATCTATGCGTAAATGAATAAATGGGGAATTTGCAGTCGTTTCACAGAGTGGCTCTTCTTCCGCTAGATTCCAATTTTAATTTAGAAATGATTTTAGCGGGAAAAAGGGAAAAATTTGAGAAAAACCCTCGAAGCACACAGGAA